GTTCACTTCTTTGTGTTCTTTTCAGTTTTGAGGATGGCATGTACTTTGCCCGTTTACCGTCAAGGTTCAATATTAGCTACGTGTTGATGATTTGTGTTGCGCCTTTGTCGGGAAAACGCGATTTATGCGAGGACCACAATAATAATTTCCGCACTTATTTAAGACGCAAATATATATAAATTTGAATAAATTCTCAAAATTATTTTTAGGTTCCTAAAAAAAATATTTTTAGCGTGGTTAGAACTATTTTTATTTTTATTTTTTACGTTTTTTAAAATAAAAAAAATGAAATTGAGTGAGAAAACGTGTTTAGAGGAAAAAATGTAAGAAAACTGAAAATAATTTCATTTTTTAATTTAGTGTAAAATTAGAATCATAATTCAGAACTATTTTCGATTTACGTGTGTTTTTTGTGAAAGAAATACAGTAGCAAATCACGAATCATAATTTGAATCATAACACGAATCCACCAACAAAACGCACTCTTAGAAAATGAAAACGATTTGAAATTTTCTTTCATTTTTTGTTTCCATTTCTTTGGGCATATGCTTTTTTTTTTTGCAGGTGGGTAAAAATTATATAATTAAACGGAATTTTAGTTTTTTCTTATACTGAAAATAATCTTTTAATAAAACTACTAAATATATTTTTGAAAATAATTTCTGTCTGAGATTAAAAACGTTTTCATTTCTAATTTTATACAAAAAAATAAAATTATTTTAGAACTAATTCCAAACGTACTATTTGTTTTTAATTACAGTTTGTTATTTATTTGATTATTTTCTTTGCTAAATATTGTTATTTATTACCATTCAGACTTCATTAATGAAATTTGAATATTCAGACTTCTCTCCTCTTATTATTATTCTTTGGGTAGTTTCCTCTCATTCATCTTCTACTCTCTTCTCATCTAATTTATCTTCCTTTTTTCTGGAGTCCAGCAGAGAGAGAAATCCCTTTTGAAGCACATCATATACCAAAACATTTTTAAGTGTCAAATTCATACTCCAAAGGGAATTTCAGCAGAGTCCTTTTTAAGGATGTTTTCATAAATAGCTGAAATTTTGTAAAATTGTAAAATTGGTCGTTTTTATTAATTTAGTGGTCAATCTGATTGACTTAGCGTGCAATCATTGATTGACTCAAGTTTGTGACTGATTAACTTAATTATTCTTTATTATTGTTAGTTTACCAATTCATCCCAAAAGTTTAAGCTGTAAGCTTAAGACACAACGCACGATGACAATTTTAAATAGGGATAAAGAGTTCAATTACGAGAGTTTGAACTCAGGATCTCCTGCTCTGATAGCATGTTAGTTTACCAATCAATCCCAAAAGCTTAAGCTGTTAGGAGGTGGACCAACAATAGTTTTATACTTTAACAATTATTATCAACATTAGTTAATAATTAACCAAAATCAATAATAATTAATCAATTTCAATCGATAAATTATATATTTATAATGATAAATTAATAATAAATTAGTCAATCATGATTGACCGTAAATTAATCACTGATTGATTGGTCAATAACTGATTGACTCATGTAAATAAAACGACTATTTTCGTAAAATAAAAAAAGCTCAACAATTTATGAAAAGAAGTGATTAAAAAATGTCACCCAACACAATTTCCCTACTCAAAATCACAAAATAAATTTATTAAAATAGAGAAAATATACCACAAAATATATTATTAAATAAAGAAAATATACACTAAAAGAAAAAAATTAACAAATCCAAATTAAAAAAGAAAAAAAAAACAATTTTTTCGTAAAAAAATTAAAAATGAAGTTGCCTTGATTGTTGATCTTTGGAGATCTTTGGAGAGGATGGGTATGTATTGAGATTAATTTTTCAATAAAAAACAACGAAATAACAATTTTATAATTTTGGCGATGAGTGGGCTCCGTTATTTCCATCCCAATTGAGAGCACTCACAACATTAACAGCATCAAATTCAAGCAATGGTTACATTGATACCAACCTGACATGCAAGAGGTATTTGCCACTCAAACTACCTCACATTGCATTGAGAGAATTACACGACTGTGGACTAGATTTTCAGAGTGATAATTTATGTGTTATTTATATTTATACTTAAAGTAGGGTTAGGTTAGACATTTAGTGCTTTCCAAGTTTTTTTTATATCAACTTTAAATTGTCAATTTTCCTTAATAAATATTTTTTTTATAATTAAATTTTTTATATTAATTGATGTAACAATATTTTAAAAAACTACTACTATTATAAGAATGACAATCTAAAATTGATAAAGAAATTACGATGAATTGGTTTCCCTATCATTATTCAACATTAAATTCAGAAAATATTATACTCACTACAGAAGGCGAATCAACCTTGGAGTAACTCACCTTTGTAGCTAACCTTGAAAGTGCTCGCATTTATAACTGCAATATCTTTGGCATACCGGAGAAACTCCTAATGAGTTTGGGGTCTGTGTGAAATATCAGAACTTTTAGTGGACGTTTAGTTTACGAATTTAAAATTATGATTCAGAATCATTCTCAGTTTACGTGTATTTTTTATGAGAAAAAACACTATAACAAATTAAGAACCATGATTCAAATAATTACACAAATTTTCGTACCAAACACCTTAGTAGGACAAAACCCAAAAACCAAAAAGTGGGAATCACACAGGATTCAATATTCAGGCCATGGAAGCAAACCAAATGAGTTTGCAGCCCACTCTTCCTTAACAGTGTAAATTCTGAACTTCAAAAGCTGCCCTTTATTCACTGTCATTTATATGTGACGAACATGGCAGTTATATGGCATAACGATAGTTTGTAGACTACCGTTTTTTTTAACATGACTACATGAACTCACCACTTTTACAATGCAAATAGTACCTTTAAATCTTTCTAAACACCGGTCAATGGTTTAAGAAATATATCCCTTGCTCTTTAGACTCTCTACAGAATCCTTGATAATTTGCTCCATTGGAATGAATTGCAATCCCAAGTCTATCAGCTTCTTTGACGCTCCATTTGCCCTCAACACCCCAGGTTGGGTATCCTTAGGCAAACTACAAAAGGAATGAACAATAATAGGTCAATAAACTTCTAAAACTGAAACCATAACATTCTGTCGTTAGAATTAAAATGCTAATGCTAAATGTCTAATAGAACATCAGCATCTAAAACCACATTCACAATCCATTAAATCATGTCGAGAAGAAAATCGTTGACCGCCCATCATAGGCGAAACTTGTTCATGACCCCAAAAAGTATAGTTGCCTTCTGGTTCACATATTTTATCTTCAGAAATTCAATCTAACAAAACGCGGTTCCCATTGTAAATCCATTTTGCAGGCCTAAAAACTTTGTTACCTGGGCACATTATACTCAGGGTAAAGTTCAGCAACCTTTGCCACAAAATCACCGTAATGTGATATAGCTTCAACACACAAGTGCCTTCCACTTGCTGACTTGTTCTCATACACCAAAATATGTGCTAATGCTACGTCTTTGAAATGCACAGACCCAATAAAAAAGTCCTCGTATATTTCAGTGGAACCTGCGAGCCAAACAAAATTTGTTATGTTTAGTGACAGTTCTGTTAACTTACAAGAATCTGAACTAGAGATCAGAAATTTCACAAGTTTGCCGCTTGTGGTCAGTAGAGAAGATCAGAATTTACAATACAAAAATTATGAATTGCAAAGCTGGAGTTGGCTCCCTATTGGCCATTTCAATAGTAAAAGCAGAAAAGTGATCCGTACTAGTTAGCAAATATATATCAATCAAAATTCGTTACCGAACTTGATTAGTTGTTCTCTCAAACTAGCACTAGCTCCTTTTAAGGCTAAAAATTCCATTTCACCCAGTTAAGTTACAGAGAAAGGTGGTAAAACATTGAAACTGAAGCATAATGGGAATCAAAAATTCTATCCATGCAGACTTCTCT